CAAAGCTGGCATTAAACCAGTTCAGAGGGGAAACCTCTGCGGAGCGGGGTTGGACCTGCAGGGCTGGTGGGAGAGAGGTGCTGGCAGGGGTGTGCATCATGGCAGTGGCAGTATGTGAGGCTGCGGCAGCGGGATAAATCAAAGGGGGAGCCTCAAGAGGGAGGAAGGTTTGGTGAAGTTGTTACTCCCTAGCTTGCTCTGTGTCCGTATTCATGTTAGACCTTCCTGGTCAGTTAGTTCTTCCAGGGAAAGACACTTACTGGGGATGGCTTGTGACTGATGCTTTTTGGTCCTGGGATTTGGCAGAGCTGACACTATCATGAAAATGAGCTTAAAACAAGAGAAGCATGGCAACCCCCTGCTCCATTTGTTCTACTAGCACCGAACTTGTGTAAGAAAGATACGCAAAAGCTGCAAAGTATACGTCCTGTCATGTAAAACTGCTGTTGGACTAATGTCACAGTAACTGTAAAATGATTAATTGCACTTAACCTTTGAGAGTTTTGCATACCTTACTCTAGTTAAGAAATGATTCCTCATGACCCCTGGAGTGTGGTTATCCTTTTTGAACTTGGCCAAGCCTGCTGTTACAAAAAAAAAATATCTTGAGACCCTGAAGTCCCCAGCTGCTCTGGTTTTAGTGGCTGTTCGCACGATGTTGGAGCTGGCATGCCTGTGTCTGGTGGCAGACGGCGACAATGCATGGAGGTGAGCGGCACTGTCTCTATTATAGTCTTGCTATTTTACAAGTGATCAGGCCTCGAGCAATATCACTGTGCTAGTTGAGAAATGTGGCTCCCAAGTTTCCATAGACGTGCATGGCATGAATTCCTTTCCCTTAATCCCTTGCTTACAAAATTAGTTTCACTACTCGAGCAGTTTCTGGTCTCTTGCACCATGTCAAAACACAAATAAGAACGTGCTTTCAACAGCAGAAGAGCAACTCGGTCCATTCTGTCACTAGAAGGGAAAAGCATATATGAAAATGAGAAGTGGTGAAATGAGATTAGAAGGTTTACAGAATTTCCTGAAATTTTGGTATGTGAATTGTGTTGCAGGTCTCAGCGATGTTTGGGACAAACGTTAATTTGTGCAAACTACTTTGCTAATCCCTAGTCTAGACACATTTCCAGTGCCTATTCATCCTTATTTCTGCTTTCATCTAGCAAATTTTTTTTGTCTATCACAGAGCATCAGTCGGAAAGGACAGGGCTCTTCTTGCTCCCATATCTCCCAGTTGTAGTTCCAGCCTCAAGCATATACAGGATGTGTAACTACATAGAGAATTTATGGGTATGAACTGTCCTGTTTATGTGGTAAAAGTTTTGACTCTGCACTCATCTGTACATACTATGCCTTTAATGTACCTAAAGCTCATATGTGCTTACATGGACCTCTT